CTGGTAACTTCTATAGTGCTTATTCATAAGCTAAATTAATTTTGGCTACGAAGTGCACTAAAGGGGGGTTATGTCAGGGTATTTATATCGGCAGACATCTTGTGCTATGATAGAAATTAAAAGTGTATATTCTGAGTCACTCTGAACAGAGAAGACTCCATTTTGTTATTTCCAAGTTAACAAAAGACACAAGATTTCTATCTGTAAAACTAACCACTTTGCTAAAGGAATGCATAGTATAAACAAACCAAGTGATAAGGAGAACGGGGGTTGGATAGACTGTCTAAAATGCTAATGGAATAGATCAATTCTAAACCCAGACATTTGTGACAGAGGAGATTAAATAATACAATTTTACTTTCTATATGTATAAGGTACCATTGTACGGAAAAGGTTAAACTTAGTTCATGATCTGCCATATCAGAAATTATAGCAGGAATTGCGGACACTAAGTCTGGACAAAACTAAGAGAAAACCCTTTGAAGTGAAAGGAAATTTAAATTATGACCACGATAAAGATAAAGCAAAATGACGTCAAAATAGCCACCAAGAAAAGTTAACTCTTTCCTGGATAGGTATGTTTAGTGGGACAAGACTGCCCTCTATAGACCAAATACCTAAATTACGATCTGAAAGATAAGCACACCTCTAGTGCTTCTATTGGGTTATCAACTAATGACGTACAGAGAGTCTGGCCCTTTAAAAGTTAGGACAAAGGGAAGATAGGGGGTATGCAAAGGAGAAGGAAAAAGGAGGAGAGAGGAATTGGAAGTTTGGGGACTCCAACTCGGACATGCAGAGAAACCCAGGACAACATCTGAGACTAACACTCTACTCTTAAAACTCTAACACTTAGAATTTTACTGACTTTCTAACCAACACCACCTTTCACCATAACTCATGCACCTACAGACATCCAAATAAGTTCCTGAGACTATCTACCAATCGGATGAAATATCTACTCAACTGGTAATTATACTGGTTTCATTTAATTAATTAAATTAATTAAAATGTATTAATAGCATGATATATGACTGGATAAAGCACGGTCAGATTTCCATATTAAGAAATCTTAGTTAACTAAAGAATATATAGTTATAAACATTCCATTCTGCAGGTGGAATTAAGAATAATTATATATTGATGTGATATTATCACGTGTTAGCATACCGCTGTTTTTATCCAGGTGTATTGATTTGCTCTAATATAAGATAAGATATATTTTAGACAAATTAAACTCTGCTTATATAATATGGTAGATTCTCTTATTGGATGGTTCCAGGAAATGACTAATGAGCTGGTTTAAATGTTATTTTATTTAAAATTACATAAGAATAGATCTTAAATACCTAGGAAATCTAGCCAGCATTGAAAGGGTTATTCTAACTGTTAGCCAGGGTTTTATGGCCCTTCGCTGTGAAAAGCTTCGCTTTCTCTCTGTGAAAGATAGTCATAAATCGTAAGACTTGACAGAAAATGCTGTTTAGCCATTGAAACGTGTATAGCCATTCCTTTGTATTGCATACCATTTTATACTGGATATTCATTGATTATTGTCACGCATGTTACATATGATTATTGATTAATTTGTTATTATAAAATAAAATCTATTTTTATAACAAAATTGTGATATTATTTATATGAAATATATTCCACTTAACACGATAACGATCTTCTGGGTCTGAGAATTGAATTAGTGGGCAATTCTCACTGTTTACTATTATTATCCCATAAATATCCCCACAGGTCGTCAACCTGGTCCCTACCACCCACTAGTGGGCGTTTCAGGATTCCAGGTGGGCGGTAGGGATTTTCTAATTTTGAGAGACCAGGCGGGCGGGTGCGAGCCAGCAGTACCCCTGCAACCGGGTACCGCCATCACCATTTGCGGCCCCGCCCCGCGCGGCAAACCGCCCATGCTGTCAGGGCCACCCAATGGATGTGAATTGTAAGGGGGCCCGGTCAGTGCTGGTCACTTTAACAGCGCGACCGGGCCCCCTGTGATTACATCACCGCGCTGGGAGGAGGTGACTGCACGTCACTCCTCCCAGCTAACACTGAGAGCCGCGCGGGAGGAAGACCAGGGAGTCAGAGTGGGAACTCTGACTCCCATCCACCTGAGCCACCACTGGACCCCAGGGAAAGTCACCCTCCTGCACCTAAAAGGTAGGCAACAGGAGGGTGACTAAAATGTGTTGTGTGTGTATGTGTCTTTGTATGTATGTGTATTGTATGTATGCGTGTCTTGTGTCTATCTGTGTGTATGTGCCTTTGTATGTATGTCTTATGTGTGTCTGTATGCATGTATGTGTGTTTCTGTATGTATGTGTGCCTTTCTGTTTGTATGTATGTGTGTGTGTCTGTATGTATGTGTGTGCGCGTCTGTATGCATGTATGTGTGTGTGTCTGTATGTATGTATGTATGTATGTATGCCTGTCTGTTATAGGGGGCTATAGTAAGTAACAGTAAGTGGGATACCTAGCTCAGCCTTCCTACTGGGCATTGCTACAAGGAAGGTTAAAAAATAAAAGGGAAACAAAAAAAAGGTGGGGAGGGGAATTGAGGAGGGAGAGGAGGGAAGCTGACGCACAGATGAGAAATCACATTATGCGCAAACAGAGAAGTCGTCTGAATATCACCGAAAGAGGAGACCTTCGTTTGTTCCTTATGAAAATCGAACCAGATATCAAATATTTAGTCTTGCAGCATCAACCTCAAGGATCTCATTAATCACTAGTAAAGGTAATTTCAATTTACTTTATTGTTTTCTCATTAAACTTTATAAAGTTAAAAACATTATAAACATGCATTAAGTAGAAATAAAAAGATAAATGTACGTACATTTTTTTTTTTTTAAAACACCCTCCTTTCTAAAAAATATTCTACACTTGTGCAAAAACTGGTGGGCGGTAAGGACATTTTTTCAATCAAAAAGATGCATTAGTGGGCGGGAGGTAGAAAAAGGTTGACTACCACTGATTTAGACAAATGGAGGTTATTTAGTTACTCCAATGGCCATTGGAGGGAATGCCCGCCTGCCAACGTCAATGCAGACCCCCCTAAGCGGATCCTACGCTGACCCTTCACCTTGCTTCTTTGAGCTTCTGGCAAAGATCTCTAATGAGACAGAAGCAGCCGCTTAGTAGATAGCTCCCTAATTCCCACAGTATCAGGGAGCTATCTACCAAAAGGCTGAAAGACCTAAATTGGTCTTTCAGACAAATTTACTAATACTAAGTAAAGATTAGCTATATCGCGAGTAGGGGCATGTTTATTAAACACTGAGCAGCCTGTGTGGCTGCTCACTGTAAAAAAAAACAACCAAAAAACCCTAGTGTCCCCCCTCCCGAGCCCCCACCCCTGAGCGCCAGGTGGGGGCCCTAAATGAGAATGGGGGGGGGACCTGTTGTCCTCCCCCTGGCCCCCACCCCTGAGCAGCCGGTGGGGGCCATAAAAACAATGGGGAGACCTATTGTCCGGCCCCCACCCCTGAGCGGCCGGTGGGTGCCTTAAATAAGAATGGGGGGACCTATTGTCCTTCCACATGGCCCCCACCCCTGAGCAGCGGTTGGGGGCCATAAATAACAATAAGGGGGGCACCTATTGTCTGGCCCCCACCCCTGAGCACCAGGTGGGTGCCTTAAATGAGAATGGGGGGGACCTATTGTCCTTCCACATGGCCCCCACCCCTGAGCGGCAGTTGGGGGCCATAAATAACAATAAGGGGGGATCTATTGTCCGGCCCCCACCCATGAGCACCGGGTGGGTGCCCTAAATGAGAATGGGGGGGACCTATTGTCCTTCCACATGGCCCCCACCCCTGAGCGGCAGTTGGGGGCCATAAATAACAATAAGGGGGGATCTATTGTCCGGCCCCCACCCATGAGCACCGGGTGGGTGCCCTAAATGAGAATGGGGGGGACCTATTGTCCTTCCACATGGCCCCCACCCCTGAGCGGCAGTTGGGGGCCATAAATAACAATAAGGGGGGATCTATTGTCCGGCCCCCACCCCTGAGCACCGGGTGGGTGCCCTAAATGAGAATGGGGGGGACCTATTGTCCTCCACCCCGGCCCCCACCCCTGAGTGCCGGATGGGGCCCTAATTGAGAATGGAGGGGACCTATTGTCCTCCCCCTCTGGCCCCCACCCCTGAGCGGCTGGTGGGGGTCATAAATAACAATAAGGTCCTCCCAGCCCCACCCCAGAGGTGGGGGCCCTAAATGAGAATGGTGGGGGGACCTATTGTCCTCCCCCCGGCCCCCACCCCTGAGTGGCGGGTGGGGGCCATAAAATCAGTGAGGAGGGAACCTATTGTCCTTCCCCCCCCGGCCCTCACCCCTGAGCGGTGGGTGGAGGCCATAAATGAAAGTGTCACCCCCCCCAAGGTGACTAGTGGTCCCCTAGTGACCCCCCCACCCAAAACAAATTATTAAACCCCTACCTACGCCCTCACCCTAAAAATAGTCAAGGGGGAATAAAACAACTAGGTGCCTGTAAAAAAACAAAACAAAAAAACTTACCATTTGATGTCTTCTTTTTTCTAAAATCTTCATTTTTCAGCCCCAAAACAGGCCAAATAAAAACCATCATACCCGTACTTGTAAAAAATAAAATAAAAAAATCTGAGCGCAAAAAAAATCACACGAAAAAGAAAAATCCCGACGCTAAATTTTTTTATCCATCTTCAACCGGCGAGGGCACGGCGCAGACTGAGCTCCACAGGGCGTGGAAAGGCTTATAAAGCCTTCCCACACCCTGCAATTTGACTTGGAACACTCTGATTGGTTGACTTGGATTTCAACCAATCAGATTGCTAGTCATTTTATACAGCATGGGAAAGTTCTTTGGAATTTTCCCACGCTGTGTAAAATGACACAGAGCACTCTTACCTTTAATAATAGCAAATAATATTCCTGCACAGCACAAGCAGCAGTGGGGCAGAGCCCCCGCAAGCCAAACGCTGTATGGTTTAAAGCAGGGCTGTCCAACCTGCAGCCCCCCAGATGTTGCTGAACTACAACTCCCATGATTCCGTGGCTATCTGTTTCATTGAAAGAATCATGGGAGTTGTAGTTCAGCAACATCTGGGGGGCCGCAGGTTGGACAGGCCTGGTTTAAAGGGACACTAAACATCAAAATAACTTAAGCTTAATGATGTGGTATTTGGTGTATAGATCATGCCTCTGCAATCTTACTGGTGAATTATCTTTTTTTTATGAGTTAAATTATGTTGTTTATGTAGCCCTACCTACACCTCCCAATGGTTGAGACTCACACAGCCTCACTTGTACACATTTTTGAGCTTCCTTTATTGCACACTGTGTGTTAATTTGAAATGTATTTTGGGCTATTTAGAGCCTGCAACAGCCTCATTTATGTGGTTAAAGTTCAATTAACAGAGCAGGAGAACTTCTAAACTAACCACCAGAGCCAGTGCATCCATAAGGTGGGAAAAGCCTTAGGACGCATCGTCCCAGAGTGGCGCAATTTTCGGGCTGACCCACAGAAAGGAAGGAAGTTCCTACTTTATTTCAGTATTCCTTTTGACAGGATTGGAATTTCAGGGAAATTCCAACACAGTCAATATGAGTATTCCATAAAGATTCTATCTTCCATAAAGATTCTATCTTTATGGAATACTAATTACGTGAGGGGAGTGAGACAGCCACTAGAGGCTGGATTAACCCTCAGTGAAACAAGCAGTTTCTCTGAAATTGCTATGTTTTCAGCTGCAGGGTTAAAACTAGAGGGACCTGGCACCCAGACCACTTAATTGAGCTGAAGTGGTCTGGGTGCCTATAGTGGTCCTTTAATATTCTACTGATGAGCAAACTTAGGGTGCACCACAGTCAGTGAATAACTACATTCTCAAATTGTAGCATGAATTGTCCCCAAATTATGTTAGGTGAAGATGTGTGTCTCTAGCGTTTCATGTGACATAATTAAACAAAAAAGACATAAATAGGCAACCAACATTTCACATTTATTTTTCTCTCTCTTAACATGAGAGAGAAACTGAAACTTTGCCATTTGCAGTGGTGCATTTGATCACAAAAGCCATCAGAAATCAATTCTATTTAAAGCGACTATGCTACACTAACTCTTACACATATAAAGAAAAACATAAATAAAGAAGTTTTGAATATAAGAATGCCAATGAAGACACTATATCAAATATTGAAAAGGTGTACAAAAACGCAGTGCCTTTTATTTAAGTTAAGATGGCAAAGAATTCGTTCTCCATCCTCCTTCATTGTCAAAATGTCAGAATCAATCACAGGAGGGACTACTGTTCCTGACAAGGTAAACGAAAACTAAAAAAATCGCTGACTTTCAATAAATCCCTTTTTTGTCTATAGACAGCACATATCTTTTTTTTTTTTACAGTCTGCTCTGCGAAATAAACATTTAAAGGGAAACAGTCTCTTGTTTAAAATAATTCTGTGATCAAATACGTGCATTTGTTTAAGTTTGTTTTAGAGAGGCATTCTAAGTACTATAAGTTGTCTATTTCATTGGTTGTTGCATAGATTATCCCTTTAAAGGGGCATTCTATAAAAACACAATTTTTTTGTAGTAGGCTGAAAGATGACTATATCCACTTCTGCCAGTACACTTACTCCAACCTGTCTATAACCTTTCCAAAATATATTTATATGCCAGTAATAATATAATTATAATACTATATGTATAGGCAAGCACCAGATTAGTGATGAGTGTAGTATTTAAGCATGAAAATATAGTATTGAGAATATAAATTGTACCCCTAATGTTTGTATTTTGCACTTTAGAGCATACGATAACACATTATGAACACTTACTCAAGTAATCATTTAATGAATATGCCCACAGACATTTGAAATCTATCTCTATATACACTGATCAGCCACAACATTAAAACCACCTGCCTAATATTGTGTAGATTCCCCCCCAACCCCCATGCTGCCAAAACAGCTCTTATCCATTGAGGCAGGACTCCATAAGACCTCTGACTGTGTCTTGTGGTATCTGGCATCAAGACATTAGCAGCAGATCATTTAAATCCTGTAAGTTACGAGGTGGAACCTGCATGGATTGGATTTGTTGTTCCAGTACATCCTACAGATGCTCAATCGGATTAAGATCTGGGGAGTTTGGAGGCCATGGGAACACCTTGAATGCTTTGTCATATTCTTCAAAACATTCCTGACCAATGTTTGCAGTATGGCAGGGTGCTTTATGACACTGCCATCAGGGAACACCATTGTCATGAAGGGATGTACCTGGTCTGCAACAATCTCTTGGTAGATGATTGGTGGAATGTCAAAGAATCATCCACATGAATGCCAGGACCCAATATTTACCAGCAGTACATTGCCCAGAGCATACCACTGCTTCAGCAGGCCTGCCTTCTTCCCATTACATCCTACAGCCATCTTTTCTCCAGGTAAATGACAAACATGCACTCGGCCATTCAACTGATCTAAAAGAAAAGGAGATCCATCAGACCATGCATTCTTTTCCCATTTCTCTATGGTCCAGTTCTGACGTTCATTTCACCATTGAAGGCACTTGGCCTGAGAGCCGCAAGTTCCTTTATTCACAGTGTAGGCATAGGTGTGAATACCTGCCTGGACTGGAAAAGACATACCTGCCTGGAAAAAGAGAGCTGCTACCTGTTGGAAGAGTTCTGGAGGGATAACCATCAAGCTTTGGTGATTAGGGTTGAAGTGCCCCAGAGTCCCCTGTAGCAGCTAGGAAACAAACTTGGGGGAGGTACTTTGTCAAACTCACACAGATCTTTTCAGAACTTTCCCATTTTCCTATTTCCAACACATGAAATTCAAGAACTGACTGTTCACTCTCTGTCTAATATGACCTACCCCTTGACAGGTGCCATTGTAATGATATAATGAATGTCATTCATATCACCTGTCAGCAGGGCCAGCCTTAGGGGTGTGTGAGCTGTGCGGCCGCATAAAGCAGGGGGCGCCCTGCGGCCGACACTGCTCACACATGGCCGGCCGGGATTTAAAAAAAAAAAATTGAGGTGGGGCGGAACTTCCTGTGCGGGGGCGTAGCTTCCCTTGCGGTAGGGGCAGAGCAAAACTGACAGCAGGGCTGCACTGCCTCCACATTGAACAGAGGTAACTATGTGTTATTGTCAGTGTGAGTGTGACTGTCTGTGTGTGTATGACTGTCTGCCTGTGTGTGTGTGTGACTATCTGTGTGCGTGACTGTCTGCCTGTGTGTCTGTGTGTGTGTGAGACTGTCTGCCTGTGTGTATGACTGCCTGAGTGTGTGTGACTGTCTGCCTGTGTATCTGTGTCTGTGTGTGTGTGTATGACTGTCTGCCTGTGTGGCTGTCTGCCTGTAATTGTGTGTGAGTGGGTTTATCTACCTGTAACTGTGTATGTGTGTTACTGTCTGTACCTGTGTGTATTTGCCTGCGACTACGTGCATGTGGTGGATTTTACACCGTATATGTATAACTGTGTGCATCTGACTGTGGGACTGTGTGCACATAACTGCAAAAATATACACCTGCATTCACACACAGGCCTAAATGCATGTTTTTATCTGAATTAAATAACCATCACACACAGCCAATAAACCCAGCACAAATATCACATACAACCAATACACGCATATCACATACTGTTCATACACCCATTACAAATATCACCCACAACCAACACATAGCATACATATCACACACAGTCATCACACCTACCACATATACAGACAACACAAACATTACATCATACATACGTGCATTTGTTTAAGTTTGTTTTAGAGAGGCATTCTAAATACTATAAGTTGTCTATTTCATTGGTTTTTGTATAGATTATCCCTTTAAAGGGGCATTCTATAAAAACAGAATGTAGTTCTCCAATCCCCCAAACATGAGTGAAGACTTCATGAAGGGTAGAACAGGTCTGAGGCTTTACTGGTACAGGTTTGCTTATATACAATTCCTCAGGCCAGAAACACACTCCTTGGACCTGATGGAACATAGACACACAAAGGACACAAACCAACCAGAACAATACAACAATGTCCGACACTCCCACTTACAGCACACAAGCCCTCCCCTCTGCCTGTGATACAATTAACAAAGACAATGGGCTAACTCAATTACCTCTAAACAGAAAAAAACATACATTTTAACAAACCCCAAAATGTACCCTAAAATACAACATATCCCTACAAACACATCCCCTGTTAGCCCCGATCTGGGTGAACAACATATCCAAAAATCACCCAGATCGGTTCAGGGGTTCAGGAATTTCCTGGAAGTCTTATTTTTGCCCCACCGTGCACATGGTCCCATGCCCAAAACAGTTCCATACACTCAATGACAAAACACAGCTGGACAATTTAAGATGGCCGCCGCCACATGTTTGAATCTGTTCCAGTTAAAAGTCCAAGGGTCAGAAACAGTACTTTTGAACATGGGTTATCACAGGGTAGGAGGCTGGCAAACAAGCCCCTCCAAAAACCAGTGGCGAAGTGGATTTCGTCACAAGCATAAATACCCTTGCAATTACAATAAAGCGATAATGTAACCTAATCACAGAATACAGCAATCCATCCTGTGATCACTTCTTGCAATTCTGTGATTCTCACTTGTGGTCACGTGGTATAAGTCAAATACAATACAACTGAGAAAAAAATGAGAACCTGGCACCAAGAATTATGAAATGCAGCATATGTCATAAAACAAATTAAGAAAATAAATCACATCAAAGTGATGTGCAGGCTTTTACAGGGGGGCATAATAGTAATGATTAAAAAATAATAATTTTGAAGGTTCAAATCAACAAAATAATCAAATTAAATTCTAAATGCCCTAAGGGGCATGCCTATAGGGCATTTACAATGTAATTTAATTATTTTGTAAGTTTGGAGTAAACCTAAAATTATATATATTTTTTTTACCAGTTTATGGATGACTAACGGAATTGCTCTTAACCCCATAACGCCGTTACTATATTCCATGCCGACCCCATATTAATGGGCTTTAAAGCCATTGCGGCGGCATGGAACACCGTAACGGCTTTCAACCCAAAGAACAGCATTGCACTCACCTCCGCTTCAATCCGTAATT